TGAACTGTTTTTTGGCAATTTTTTTCCCTTGTGCTATATTTCTGCAATTGATCTTCTTTAATATAATTTAATGTAACATAAATATAACAGTTCAGATGTTTTATTTATTCCTGTTAAATTTCATCTTAGCTTCCATACATTGTTTTACCTGAGATTTGCATTACTGAAGCTCAATTCTATCACCCAAAGTATTATGTATGCAATCTAGCTTTAGGCCATCAACACATTTAATAAGCATGTTATCTGTGCTTTACAAATACCTCTATCACTCTAGCATAATTCTTGATATTTAATCATCATTCAATATTTTGGGTCTGATCAGCCACAAACATATAGAATTCTCCTCTTGGAAGGGACCTCTGAATCCCTTCTGCAACATAGATGAGAGGTCATCCAGTCTTTACTTAGTAAAGGCCTATAGTACAGAAAAATCCATTACTTCCTGAGGCAGCCCTTTCTACTTTGGGATAGCTCTAACTGTTAGAAAGCTTATCTTCATGCCAAGATTAATTTATTCTCTTTGGAGCTTACACCTGTTGCTCCCACTTCAGTTCTCTGGAGCCAAATAGAACAACTCTAATCCTCGCCCCCCTCCCTTAATAATCTTTCATATATTGAAAGTATTCTAATAAATTTTATATATTATATATATATATATGCATATACACCTATGTGTACATGTAGAAATAATAATACATATATGTATTATATGTATATACATATGTGAATATGTACACAAGGGCAGTTAGGTGACATAGTGGATAGAGTTCTAGCTCTGGAGTTAGGAGGACCTGAGTTCAAATCTGGCCTCAGACACTTGCTAACTTTGTGATTCTGAGCAAGTTACTTAAACCTGTTTGCCTCAGTCCTTCCTCTGCAAAATGAGCTGGAGAAGGAAACAGCAAACCATTCCAATATCTTTGCCAAGAAAACCCCAAATGGGGTCATGGAGAGTCAGACATGACTGATGGCTTAACAACAACAATGGTAAATATATACATTATATGTGTATGTATGTACCCACACACACTTGCACACACAAACACACCCCTACACACAGCTGGTTCTATCCAAAATGAGCCATGGCTGACTTTGGCTTACCAAGTCCATTCCCCAGGAGGCACATATCTTATGCATATCCATAACAACATACTTCACAAAGCTTGTATGGGCAGAAAAGCATACAAATTTGTTCATTCTCTGCCCCTTTAAAAGGGCCCCACTTCTAAGGTAGCCTTTCCTCTTTCCACCACAATATTTGTGGCTTGGACTTCATACTTGGACATCACACTGAACAGAAGGGTGTGTCCTTGTATTACATGGAGTATCCATATGGGAGCCCATATCTACATGGTTCTTTAGGTCCTCATAGTTATATCAACACATATAGTTCTACTCTACAGGGTAAAGTTTTGTACAGTGAAGCTACTTATAAATTCAGAAATATAGCAAGCAAGTAAAAGTGATACAATATAGAAACATAAGCATATGTCAATATTATAAACACATGATTCCATTAATAAAGAGTCTACATGGCACAGACTTGTCCTTGGAGGCAAGAAGTTTGGGATTCAAGTCTTGCTTCTGACATGTCCTGGCCAAGTTACCTGGGCAAGTCACTTTGCCCCTCAGTGTTCTAGACAAATCTCTAAGACTATAACCTGCAGAAAAGGTGCTGACCTGTATTGGTAGAGGGACTTTGCTCATCTGAGAGTTCTCTATAGCAATGAAATACCAGATCCAGTCTCTATCTCTATTTTATTAATATAGACCTTTCTATCCCATTTAAGGTCTCTCATATAGGAGCATTGTTCCTATAATTTTATCATATATATGACCAAAACTCATGACAGACTCAGTAGTGACTCATTTGGATTGTAATTTGTGCCAAATTATAACCCAAAGATATCAATGAAAAGCTTAAAAGAATAGTCTACCCAGGGCTTATTGTAGTCTCTTATTCAAATGGTACCTAGGATGGACAAAACTTACAAAATGTTCCAAGTCACTTAGAACTGGACCGATACATGCATACATACATATATACATATACACATACATTATGTACATATACATATACGTATATATGTATGTGTATATATACATATATATGTACTTGGAGATAGCAAGGTATTTTTTTAAAAGATATTCCTGAATGTGGATTAGTTTGTGTTAATTGAAGCAAGTCCCAGGACATTAAAAAGTCTTCCAAGTGAGTTTCACAATCACTCAAAACAGTTTGGCCTAACTATTCACATAAGAAGATCCAAGTAGATAAATCATTCTTATACAGGGGTGCGGAACCTGCAGCCTCGAGGCCACGTGTGGTCCTTTGACTGAATCCAAACTTCACAGAACAAATCCCCTTAGTAAAAGGATTTGTTCTGTAAAACTTGGATGCAGTCAAAAGACAGCACCCAAGGACCTAGAAGGCCACATATGGCCTCCAGCCTGCAAGTTCCCCGCCCCTGAATGCTGTATATTAGGTTGAAGAGTCTGTAGAGCTAGTATATCAATACATACATTTTGAAAAGACACTATGAAAGGATATTGAATTAAACACATAGTTGAAAATAAGATAGACTGAGGGAAAATTGTACACTGACTTTAATGACCCACAAGCAAAGGACCATTTGAAAAAAAATCTTGTGATGATATTTGTATGTAAGTTGTGGAATGCCATCATTCCCTCAAAAATCAATATTGTGGGTTACCCTAAGGGCAACGGAGGGTGGCTCCATGGCCATTAGTTAGACCACAACATATTACCAATGAAAAACTACATGAGGGAAGTGTCATAGATGGTACAATCAGAAAGACATCTGATCAGAAAAGGAAGTGGGCTGGTCACATATCAAGAGAAGAGGATGACAGATGAGCAGTGCATCACATGCTTCCTTGGGATCCATGCAATGTCAAGAGATCTAGAGAGACTCCATATAGGTGATTAATCAGCAAATATTGCACAGGATGAAATGAAATGGCATATTGATTTGCAAAATTGGAGGGAATCCCACATCAAGTAATTCACAGATTTATTTAATCATCAAAGAATTAAATAATCTATTAGGCCCTTTTTTTTTTCCCAACAAGCATTTACTGAGTTCAGAGCATAATATTATTTGTTCTGTGCTGCTGGAATCTGAGCAACTGAAGAACCTGAGGAGTCTCTATAGAATAAAAACAAACAAACAAACAAACAGTTATAAAGTACCTAGTCTTTGGAGAAGTTTAGGTTCAAGCTCTTAAGACCTAGCCTAGTGAAGAACTAGAATGCCCCTTGCAGGGGATCAATGAAACTTTAAGGAGTAGAGAAATAATGGAACCTGCCATGTTCCCTTTACTCATCCATTTTCAATTTAATTTAGCTCAAATCAAGAAACACTTCTTACGTGCATACTATGAACCAGGAACTGTGCCAGGCAATATAGATACACAGATAAAGACAAACAAAAAAACCCAGTTCGTGTTCTCAAATAAATTACATTCTATTGGGCAAAATAACATGTAAAAATATAAGGTAATTTTGGTAATAGGAAAACATCAACAATTGAGGGAGATCAAGAGAGGTCTTATGAGAAGGTGAAATGAGCTGAGTATTGAAAAGAGCTAGGGATTCCAAGAGGTAGAGATAAGGATGCAGAATATCTAAAACATAAAGGGACATCTTGTGCAAAAGTGTAGAGGTGGGAGATGGAAATTCTGTGTATAGGGAAGAACAGCAAGAAGACTGGTTTGGCTAGAATATAGAGTGTGAAGGGAAGCAATATAAAACCAATTGGGAAAGTTAGATTGGAACCAGACTGTGAAAGTCTTTAAATGCCCAAAAAAGGAGTTTGCATTTTATCCAGAAAGCAACAGGAAGAAGTGGTATGGTCTATACTACCCTTCATCCTGCTGCTTGAATCGCAAAATGGAAGCTCCTTCTGATTCTTTAGGTCAGAATTCCAATGTGACGTCAAAGTGAATTAGTTCTTAAATAAGGCAGGTATTGAGAAATTTTACATGTTTGATTGGTTTTGCCTAAGGATTGTACCATAATAGCAGAAATCACTTTGTGAAAGAAAATGTACCGTGAAGCATTAGAAAGCTCATTGGGTCTGTCCTTTAGAACTGACCATATTAGAGGCAAAACTGTTTCGTAAAGAGATATTATTGAAGTTGCAATAGATATATTTCCTTGGATGTAGACATGAATGGACTTTCCTTAAATTTCACTCTACTCTAACAAAGTGTTGTTATAAGGTTCCAGTGTATTTTCTGTGACCTTACAACATGGAATCTAGGTTTTCAGTGCTACAGAGAATGAACTCATCCATGCCAGAATGGAATCAACAGTGGTTCTAGGATCAGAAGATCTGTGTTAAAATTATGACTCACTTTGTTACTTGTGTGACTGGGAAAGTCATGATTCCTTCTATCAACCACCCTTTGAGACGATTTTGAACCAAACAAGCTGCAAAATAAAGCTAGAGTGTTCTGGGCTCCAAAATAGATATTTAAAAATTGACAGGGCTCAAAAGAGTGGACGATTCAGTCATGATTATAGAAAAATCCAGTGGATTAAATATGTCCTTGAGAAAATGCAGTTTCATGCCAGATGGCAGAATTTGGCTTGTAGACTGCACCCAGTAATCACTGAATAAAGCCTCCTTCCTGACCTTTGGTATAGATGGCAATAAGCCACATGCATAGGGAAATAATGGTGGGGGAGGTGAACTGAATGAAATGACTCCTGGATGGCCCCCTGCCTGGAGCTGACTGTCATTGAACCAGCTGCCTATAGAAGGGCAAAAGGTAGACAGCAAACCTAACAAGGGTCATTAACTAAATAACATCAATCCAGCAGAAAGATTGGAGAGTCTCCTGTCAATGCTCAGAGGATGGAATGCAGACAGATAACACCGTCAGTGATGGCAGCCGAAATCCTTCTACTTCCTAATTAAGCATGCAACCTCATACTCCTTCTAAAGATGGAGAGGGAATTAAATTCAACTCACATGGGCCAGTCGATCAAATCTGGCAAAGAGTTCATTCAACATCCTGACCAGCTCCTGTGCTGACAAGGTCGTGGAAAGGTTGGTAAATCCTTTAACATCTGCAAAAAGAATACTAAACACAAAAGGGAAGGGGGGTGGTGGTGAGAAGAAAACATATTAATATTTTAATTCATCCTGGGAGACATATCAACACCGTGTAAACAAACAAAGCATCTGTGGGTTTGAGATCTTAGCTCTGCATTGTTGAGCAAGCCAAGGGGGAATGAATGAATTGGCCAGGATTTAAACCAGGTTTAATTCAGGAGAAGGCCAATTCACAAGCTCAGGAAGTGGAAATGAATGCTGAAAGCTCCCATTCTTGTTGCTGGCAGAGGGTTTGTGAGCTATTTCTAAGACTTAGCAGTTCTTTTACAAAAGTAAGTTCTTTAAAAAAAATATTTTGGAGGGACTCAGAGTGAAATTTTAACCAAGTTATATAACTCTAGCTTTTTGGTTTAGCTCTTTCCAAACCATGGCTTCCCTATGGCCATCTTCTTCCTATTGGAAGTTGGCCTCTGACCCTAGGATTGGATAGGTGAAGCCTTATCTTTGCATGGGGATCTTAAGTCAGGTCCCCATGCAATTCCTGACCATTTCCAAATCAGTCTATCTGGAACATAACAACTTTCCACTCTCCCCCACTTTCCAATTCTATGTGTTGTCTTCGCTATTAGAATGTAAGCTCCTTAAGGGAAGGGATGGTCTTGCTTGCTTGACTGTATTTGTATCTCCAGGGCTTAGCACAGTGCCAGACACATGCTCCAAGAATGCTTTTTTATTTGTTAATTTATTCAAATCAGCACACAGTAAAACATAGAACAATGGTTCACATTTTTGTAGGATAATAAGATTAAGGAATTTAGAACTAGAAGAGATTTTAGAGATCATGTAGGATTGAGATTCTTAGCCTTTTTTTTTTTTCCATATCATGGACCCCTTTGGTACCCTGGTGAAGCCTATGGACCTCTGCTCAAAATAATGTTTTTAAATAATTGAAAAGAATGTTAAATTTCAGTTAGAAGTTAGTAAAAATAAAAATGTAATCTTGTTTCCAATGATAAGTTTATGAACCTCCTGAAATCAAGGTTAAGAACCCCTGATCTAGAAGAATTTTCTTAATTAATGTGACTAGAAGATCACCTATCATGTTGGGTGCATCCTAAGGAAGATCTGCGAAAAAGATGAGGCAGACATTGAATGGGTATGGATTATATTGGTGGAGGAAATATCCTCACTGACAAGATCATGGATTTACTAAAGCACTGAAGTTAATATACTCTACTGTGTGGCATGACCATGTGAAGGTGATGATATATTACAACACCATGATAAATTTAAATCAAATGGTATTTATTAAGGATCTATTACATGCCACCCACTCTCCTAAGTGCTTGAGATACAAAGAAAGAGAAAAAAAAACAGTCCCCTGTTTTCAAGGAGCTTACAGATTCATGAGGGAGATAACATATAAATAACTACATACAAGCAAGATATAGATTGGATAAATTGGCAATAATCTAAAGAGGAAAGAAACTTCATTTAAGGGGCATCAAGAAAAGCTTCTGTAGGAGATAGGCCTTCTTTCAAATGAAGAAAGCCAGGGAAGCTTGGAAGCAGAGATAAGGAGGAAGAGAATTCCAGGCATGGGGGATAGCCAGTGAAAATACCATCAGTTGGGAGATGTGATATGTTGTGCAAGGAATAACAAGGAGTTCAGTGTCCCTGAATAACATAGTATGTGGAGGTAAACAAGGTGTAAGAATCCTGGAAAGGTAGAAAGGGGTAGGGTTTTGAAGGGCTTTGAGGGACAAATAGAAAGTTTTATATTTAATCCTGGAGGTGATAAAGAGCCACTGGAGTAAGGGTAGTGGTGATATGATCAGGACTGTACTTTAAGGAGATTAATTTGATAGCTAAGTGGAGGATGGTTTGTAACGGGGAAAGATTTCTGTCTGGGAGATCAACCAATAGGCTATCACAGAACTTCAGGGGTGAGGGGGCCTGCAGAAGGTAGTAACAGTGTCAGAGGATAGAAGAAAAGCACATGAGAGATACTGTGAATGTAAAATTAACAAGATGGCAACATATTAGATATGAGAGCTGAGAGTGAGTCACTGAGGATAATGCCTAAGTTGTGAGCGTAGGTGCCTGGGAAGATTTGGTGACTTCAATAGTAATAGAGAAGATTAGAAGAGAGTAGCATTTAGGGGTTAAGATAATAAGTTCTGCCTTTGACATGTTGAGTTTAAGATGTCTACAGAATATCCAATTTGAGATGTCAGATAGGTAGTTGGAGATGCTAGTCTGTGAATTAGGAGAGGGGTTAGACTTGGACAATAGATCTGAGTATCATTGGCATAGAGATGATACTTGATTCAATGGTAGCTGATAAAGTTATCAAGCAAAAAAATAGTATAGAGGGAGAAGTGAAGAAGGCCTAGCACAGAGCCCTGGAGGGTACTCACCACCATTAACTGGATGAAGATCCTGCAAAGGAGACAGAACCAATATAGGGTAGTGTCACAGAATCCTAGAGAGAAGAGAGTATCAAGGAGAAGAGGGTAACTAACAGTGTCAAAAACTGCAGAAAGGTCAAGAAGGATGACGACTGAGAAGGGCCATTGGATTTAGCGATTAATAGATCACTAGAAACTTTAGGGAGAGAAGTTTTGCTTGAATAATAATATTGGAAGCCAGATTATGGGGAGTTAAGAAGAGGAAGAGGAAAGGAATCAGAGGCATCGATTTTTGGGTCTTCTTAAGGAATTTAGCTACAAAACAGAGTAGATACATGGGAGCTGGATAGTAAGTAAGAGTTTGTTTTGTTTTGTCTTATTTTTTTTTTAACATTTATTTTTAGGCCATAGAGAAGCAGCCCTGGAAACAGGGAGAGATAAATGAGAAAGCAAATATGATAGAGGGGACAATCTGCTGGAGAAGACAGGATAGAAGGGTGCATATGCATATGTAGAAGGGTTAGCCTTGGCAAGAAGAAGGGCCACCATTTCATTTAATCAAAGGCTGGTTAGGAGATAGTGACAAAAGACATCTGAGGGATGTGAGATGAAGAGGAGGAGAAAACAGGGAGTTCTTGTGGAATAGTTTGATTTTTTTCTAGTAAATATGCGACAATATTCTCAGTTGAATGGGGAGGGAGAAGAGAAGCCAAGGGAGGTTTGAGAAGGTATTAAAAGATTTTGAAAAATGACTATAGCAAGAAGGATAGTGAATTGATAAAGGATTGTCTAGCTGTAATGAGGACTCAGTAGAGAAATGTAACATAAATCTCCAGTGGACTCTGTCAGTCACCATGGTTTTATCATTTTTTTTTCCAGATTGATTCAACTGTGTATGAGTAAGAGCTAAGGCAGCAGATGCTGGGAGTAGTCCAAAGTTGGAGTTTGGCATGACAAGATATTTGATAAGATAAAATGGCAAAAATGATTTGAGGAAAGATAATGGTTTAGTGTTGAACTGGTGTTCCAAGTGTCAAGAAGGGCAGGAGAAAAGAATATAGCTAGTGTAGAGCTGATGGACTGAAAAAGAAATGAGGGGTCAAGGGATTGGAGGTCACAGTGAAGACAAAGAACAGAATTTGAGGTAGCAAGGAGAGGTGGAATGAAAATAATTGTAATTAGATAAAGGAATTTCAGAGTTCAGGAACATAGAAGTGGAGCATTTGTTGGTAATTGCAGGGTCAAGGATATGTTACTAGGTGGGGTGGACGAATAGGTCATGGGAAATGAGTAAACTGAGGAACTGAAAGGTTAGGGTATTTGAGGCAGTATTCAAATATATGTTGAAGTCCTCTAGTAAGAGGGCAGGCTTTGGAGAAGAAAGCTTATGAATCATATACTGAACAACTGTGGAAAGAAGGGGAATGTCTTGAAGGTCAGTATACAACAGCTACCAGAATTGACTGGGTAGCTTAGGTGGCACATGGATAAAGTGCTGGCCCTGGAGTCAGAAGGACCCGACTTCAAATCTGGTCTCCAGCACTAGATGTGTGACTCTGGGCAAGTCATTTAACCGTGTTTACCTCAGTTTACTCATCTGTAAAATGAGTTAGAGAAGGAAATGACAAAATCCAAATGGGGTCATGAAGAGTTGGACATGACTAATCAACTAAACAATAACTAAAACTAAATATGGATTGAGTGAAACTTAAAGGAGGAAATGATAAAGGAGTGATGGAGGGAGAAGGAAAGCCTGCAAATACCATTGGGGAGCAAGTCATAGTCCAACACCCTCGCCTTAGCCAGTGATTTGGGAAGGAAGAATTGAAAGTACTATCAGTGCTAGAAAGAGTGGCCAAGAAGGCTCTGCCACCAGGAGGGAGATAGGTCTCAGTGAGAAACAGAAGACAGAAGGAGTAGAAAGGAAAAGATTTAAGATGAAAGTAAGTGTGTTGCCTATAGAGTGAACATTACAGAGATTACAGTGTGAGGGCTGTGTAGCCTTAGAGGGAGACATTATAGAGGGGCAGGGGTTGGATTGAAATGCATGAGAATAGAGGAGTGGGCAGGCAGTGATTAGCATCAATGATTTAGAGAAGACTTGCAAATACTGATACAATGCAGATTAAAAAGATTCAGCCAAGACAACTACATACATGATGGCTACAAGAATTAATAAGAAAATAATGCTGAAAGACCTCAGAATTCTAATCAATACCATAACTCAGTAAATAGGCGTGGACTACAGATAAAGAATGAGGCATATGTTGTCACACGTAATCAATCTGTCTGTTGGTCTTTTCTACGAAGAAAAGTTCTATGGGGGAGTGCTGAGAAATAACAGCAATGTGAACACTATGTAGATCACTGTTAATTTTTAAAAACAACCATACAAGAATTTATACCTCCAAGTGAGTTATTCTTTCAAGTAAAAAAAAATGAGGTATGGATGCAGATATGTATGTTTTGTAAGGAGAGCAAGCAATAATGATCGAAAGGAAAATGAGTTTTAATAAACTCACTATTCTCATTCTCTGCCTGTGTCAGACATCACAGGACAGAGACAGAGAGATAGAAAGAGATGGCAGGGAGGAGAAAGAGAAGGGAAGCAAACATTCCAACAAAGATAGACAAACAAAAAGGCATGGAGACAGAACTGGTGAAAAGGATGGATGCTGTAAACATTAATGGAGAAATAAAGAAAATGGACATGTGGGAAAAAGTTATTAAAATCACTCAGTTTTTGCAAATAACCCCAATCTAGAGGTTGAAATTCTAGCCAATAAAGAACATAACATTACAGTGTTAGAAGGAGCTGGAAGAAGTTTTTAGAGAAGCAACATCCTTCATCTAGTCCATGTCTGTGGTCTTTCAGGTGAATAGAATGAAAAAGGGAAAAACAATGGAATAAGTTTAACTCACAATGTATCATGTGGAAATAGATAGAGCTGACCCTGAAGGCAGGAAAACATGAGTTCAAATGGCTGGAATGTACTCTATCTTCATCTCTGCCTCTCAGAACTACCTTCCTTCAAGGAAAAGCTCAGGTGCCATCTCCTTCATGAAGCCTTATATTCTGGCTCTGTGATCCTGGGTAATTTACCCTCAAGGTGTTCTAGGCAAATCCTGAAGACTCCTAAATTGTGCAGAAAGTGTCAAGCTGCATTAAGTAGAGGGAGTTTTCCACATGGGAGTCCATTATACCAATGAAATCACTTGCCCTATTCTTATCTTATTGTTATTCCTATTCTCATCTTGTGAAGTAGTGTTCTTCCTTCAACTGGAGGTATTTAGCAGAGGCCAAGTGACCTATATATAGTGGGTGTTCATTTACTAAGCATAAGGCTGAATCAAAGGCCCTATTCCCTTCCAACTTTAAAATTCCACACCCTATAATCAGAGACTTGTCCAAGGTCATAGAATCAGAGACTCTCACAGTTGGAAGGAATCTTACAGGTCACCTAGTCCAACTCATAACTGATCACTCTTTAATAATTTTCATAACTGGTCATGTGCCTTCTTTTAAAGATCTCCAGGAATGGGGAACCAATCAATTTCCATAGCAGCCCATTTCACTTTTAAATTGGTCCAATTGTTGGAAAGTGTTTTCCTGACAAGGAAACCTCAAATCTGTCCTTATGTAACTTCTATGAAGTTAACATTCCAGCAGCAATGCCAGAAAGTTGAATTTTCTATTACAGCAAGCTGCCTTCTCTTCTTTGAAAGTCACCTCTTTCCATTTCATTTAGATGCAAAATGGAGATGAAAGGATGAATACACTTAAATTAATAAACTTAGAATCTGGAGCCAAATGTTTACATGATAATGTGAATTTTTTTTTAAAAAGGAGAAAATAAAACATAGCAGAAAAGAAAGAATACTATTGGGGAAAAGAAACATGAAGAGAGTGAGCTAATTTAAACAATTTTGTACCACTGGACTTGTTTTGAGGATTGTGGAGAGAGAGGTTCAGCAGTAATTCCAGGCTAGCTCCCAGAATCAGGTTGAGAGACCAGGCTCATTAACAGTCGTATTTTTAACACCAAACAGCCTTCAAGTGGGAAGAAGCTGCTACACGTAACCTGCTTGTTGATTTCAGCTCCTCAATACCTAAAGATGCCACTGGCATTCACTGATGCCATAAATAGAAGAAGAGAGACCAGTTACCAGCAGCTTGGGTTCTGTGCAGGTTCTTCTACCTTAGAAACAACTCCCATCACTGAGGAAGCTGAAAAATGTAGGGCAGTAAACTAAATTTTAATCTAGTGTGATGCGAACTTCTGCAAAAGGAACTCAAACACAGAGAACTCAGTTTAGAGATTAAAAACAAGAAGACTGAATAGTTTCAGCCATGCAGGAACAAGGGGAACTCCAGAAATGGATGATCAGGGAGAAGAAATTGGTATTTATGAAACCCAGTTCTCCTGAGGTATTTGTGTATGCATTCTTTTGAAATCAGGGAGAGGGTTGTTGTTGTTACTATTATCAGCATCGGCATCGTCATTGTTATTATATGCTTCTCATCAAGTCAAGTACTTTGTTTTTCATTTCCTCAGAAATAATCCTTTGAGTATCAACTCCTCTGGATCTATTCATCATTGACCATATCCATCAACAACACATGCATTTGTGGAGTATCAACTGGGGCAGCTAGGTGGTGCAGTGGATAGAGTGCATCCAAGTTTGGATTCAGTCAAAGGGCCATACTTGAGGATCTAGAGGGCCACTTGTGGCCTTGAGGATGCGGGCTCCCCACCCCTAGTGCCTGGACTTATTGACTAAGTCACAGACTAATGTTCCTTTCACCATTTTCATAAAATGGTGAAAAAAGCTAACCCTAACAAAGTGGAGAGAAGTCTTAAGTCAATTTAACAAATGAGAAGCAATATAGTAGAGTGGATAGAGTCAGGAAGATCTGGGTTCAAGTCTACCCTCTATCACAAACCAGTTGTATCAGTATGGACAAGTCATGGAATCACTCAGTACCCCCCGACACCTCTCTCGGAGGTGTCTTTAAGTCAGATGAACATCTTATCTGCATGTATGGAGGGAGTTTCCACTGATCTAGACATACTCACGTATGTATACAAGTACATGTGCACATACATACATGTGTGAACATCTGCATGTATATGTAAACAAAAGTGGTCAGTTCATGATTCAACCTAGAAATATCAAGACCTCAAGTGAATTCCTAATTAAAGAACTAACAAAGCAACTGAACGGGTCCCTGACATCAATCATAGGCAGAGGCCATTAAGCAGCATTAAAATATTTCAAGTTCGTGTACATGTGAATATGTAAAAATAATTGACATTTATATAGCCTTTTTAAATTTTTGTAAAATGCTTTGTATATATGATCTCATTTGAACCTTATAATAACCTTGTGAGATATTTATTATTTCTATTTTACGGATAAGAAATCTGTGTCTCAGAGAAGAGTGGTTGAGGCCACAAGGAGAGTGAATGTCTGAAGAAGGACTTGATCCCAGATCTTTTTGATTCCAAGACCAGTACCCCCCTAACTACTCTACGACTGCTTCTCCCCAAACATCTACCTGGATGTATATCCATGTGCATGCGGCCATTGCTCACCTGACATTCTCATAGCGATGGATGTAGATCTTGTGGAACTGGTGCTGCAAATGCTCATCTTCCACATTGGTCATATCATTGATCATCTCTAGGACAACAAACCGAGGCAGTACAGAAAGTACCAGTCGTTCCTGAAACAAAGCAAGAGGCCAAGGTTGGACTAATTAGACCACGGCTGCCTCAATTTCTCCTGGCCAAAGCTCTCAGACGACAGGCGAGCCAAACTCATCTTATCCAATCCAGAAAGCAAGTCCTCATTACATACCATGTGCTAGGCTCTGTGTTAGAGCGTGACAACACAAAATCAAACATGCCTTTCCCCCGAAGAACTTATAGCCTATGGGAGGATGCAATATGTGAAAAGATAAATATTTAAGGGTCTGAGGAAGAGGGAAAGGCCTCTAACGACCAGGAGAATCAGGAAAGCCTCCCTTTAAAGGGTGACATGCAAGCTAAGGTCAACGGTGTATTCCTTATTAGCAAAGGAAAATGACTTCTTGGGCACAAAGCTAAAACCGTTATTGAGAGACCCACTGCTTGTAGTTGTTCAGTTGTTTCAGACTCTCTGTGACCCCATTTTGGGGTGTTCTTGGCAAAGATACTGGAGTGGTTTGCCATCTTCTTCTCCAGTTCATTTTATAGATGAAGAAAGTGAGATTGCTTGCCAGGGTCACCCAGCGAGTAAGTGTCTGAGGCCAGAGCGGAACTCATGAAGATGAGTCTTCCTGACTCCAGGCCCAGAGCTCTATTCGCTGTGCCATCTAACTGACCGAAGGAGCCATAAGGGATACCACATCAAACTCATCTAGCACTTTGAGGAAGGCACAAATAAAGTCTTTAATCAATGACATATCTATTGCTTAGTTACTGAGCAATAATGTCCTTCACTTTAGCTTGTTATTGATCATAAATAAAGTAGTTATTGAACTTTATTCAAAGGTTTCATTGGTCAAATTACCCTTGAAATATTGTACTTAGAGCCAGAAGCCTAGTACAAGCTTCCTCACTTGGACTATTCTAATAGCCTCTCATTTGTTCTCCCAACCTCAAGCTTCTCTCCACTCCAGTCTACCTTCTTCACATATGGCAAAATGATTTTCCTAAAGTGCAAGTCTAATCAGGTCATTACTTCTCCTCACCCTCCCACTTAATAAACTCCAATATCTCCCTATTGCTTTTTGATCTTAATATAAATGCTCTTCTGCTTGACATTTATACCGCTTCAAGACATGACCCTTTAACAGTACCAGTTTTCAAGCTATACTATGAAGCAGTAATTATCAAAACTATTTGGAATTAGTTAAAAAATAGAACGATCAGTAAAATAGATTAGGCCTACAACATACAGGGGAAAAAATGAACCTAGAAACCTAGGAACACGATGACGGGAGATAGGTTTCACTAGCTACTAAAAACTGATGGGAAAATTGGCTAGCAGTATTAAAGAAATTAGTTATACCCAAACACCTCACACCCTTTACCAAGATAAGTTCCAAATGGATATGTGACCTAGGCAAGAGTTCCCAAAACAAAGAAGAAATGACCTATAAGATCTATGGATAGGGAAATGGTTCTTGACCAAATAAATGGTAGAGAATATCACCAAAGATAAAATCTATATTTTAGGTTATATAAAAATAAATTTTTTTTTTCACAGACAAATCAAATACAGGTAGGATTAGAAGAGAAATAATTAGCTGAGGAAAAAAAAATCTTTGCAGAAAGTTTCTCTGATAAAGGTCTCATTTGCAAAGACATATAAGGAAATTATGTAAATTTATAAAAATTAGAGCCATTACAGAATTGATAAATTGAGGTAACGAGGTGACATACCCTTGGGGGGAGTAGAGTGCTGGACCTGGAGTTGAGAAGACTTGGGTATAAATGTGGCCTCAGACACACAGCTGTGTGACCTTGGGCAAGTCACTTAGATTCTTACCTGGCTCAGTTTCCTCATCTATAAAAATGACTATAATAGCCCATTCTACATGCAAGGTTGTTGTGAAGATCAAATTAGATAATAATTGCAGAGCATTTTACAAACCTTAAAATTCTATATAGATATTATTGAAAAAATGTTCTAAGGATATAAATAGGCAGTACGCAGGGGAATAAACCCAGGCTATCTATAGCCATATGAAAAAATGCTTCAAATAACTAATAATTATAGAAATATAAATAAGCAATTATAAGTTTACACCTCACACACATCAGATTGGAAACTGACAAAAAGAAAAGAAAATGACAAATGTTGGAGGGGCTTTAGGCAAAAAGAAACACTGGTGTATTTTTGGTGGTGCTTTGAACTGGTCCAGTCATTCTGGAAAGCAATGTAGAATTATATACAAAAAGTTACTTAATAAGTTCATGCCCTCTGACCTTTGACCTAGTCATTCCACTGAATGGTCTATACTCAAAAGGGATAGAAAGAGGAAAAGGTTCTCTCTTCTTCCCTCCCTTTCTCCTGATTGTCCTACACATATGATACTCCTTCTTACCTCTGTGCCTTTGTACTGCCCATGCCTTCACCTTTGCCTCTTGGACTTTCTGGATCACATGATTTTAATTAGAGCTAGTACTCAAATCCAAAATGCCCGAATCAATAGTTCTTTTCATATCAATGCTGCCACTGGAAATGCTTAGGCTCAAGGAGAGAAAATTCAATACACTCCTCTGTTTGGGATCTAAAGCCCCCCACAAACTGGCATCAACCTATCTTTCCAGCGTCATTAAACATTTTTCCCCTTCCCACATTCTACAATCCCATCAGATTGGCTTTCTTGCTCTTCCTCTAATGCAATGCTCCATTTACTGTCTTGATGTTTTGCACATGTTATCCCCCATTCCTGCTGGGAATGCACTTCCTCCACATCTCAGCTTCTTAGAATTCCTATTTTCCTTCAAAGCTCAGCTCCTATGTCACTTCCTATGGGAAGCCAGTCTTGTTCTCCTCAGCTGCAAGTGCTTCCCCTTAACCTCCACATTACTTTTGTAATCATTTCATATATATATTTTCCATATATTTATATGCTGTCTCTCCCTTTAGAATGCAAGCCTGAAGGTAGAGAGAGTTGCTCGGTATTTCTGGTATCTATCGCAGGTCTGGAACATTTATATTTTTGAATTGACCAGTTGCTGTCTACAAATACCTGAATGGCCAGACTGGCTTGTAGATGAATGACTAGATCTATTTTTTTAAAGTTTGAGAAGCAAGAACACAATTCAGTAGAAAAAACTCTTTGGCAAACAAATTGGAAAGACCTAAGAACTCTGTAATTATAAACAGAGATTCCAGAGCACCAATGCATAAGCATAATACCCACCTCTTGACAGGGAAGGAAAGGACTAGATAAGCAGAGTGATTCACACATTTTTGAACATGGCCAATGAGGGAATTTATTTTTGCTGGACAATGCTTATTTGATACCAATGTTATGTTTTTCTATTTGTTTTCCAAGTGGCGAGGTGGAAAAGAGAGAAAGGAAATGCTTGCTAATTGAAAAATATGAATCTACTCTCATCAATGCAATTATCCACTATAACTCTAAAGGGCTTATGATGAAAAATGCTGTCAACCTCCAAATAATGAACTATTGGACTCAGATTGCAAATTTAAGCATTTTTTTTTGTTCCTCCCATCTCCAGAACATGGCTAACACAAAAATGTTTTTCATGACTTCATATGTGTAATGGGTATCATTTCTTGCCTTCTCAATGGGTAAGAGAAGGGTAGAGGGAAGAAGAAAATTTTGAACTGAAAATAAAATAAAAAAAGAAAAATATTAATCTTTTTTTAAAGAAAGAATTCTGGATTTGGGGTTGGGAACATTGATCTGAAGCCTAGCTCTGCAATTTACTACTTATGTCCTCCTTAACTGCTCTGGGATGCAGTTAATTCAACTATAAAATTATAAAAGGGAGGGATTTTACTAGATGACCTCTAAGGTCCTTTCCAGCTCTAAAAATCTTGAAAGTTACAAGTATTCAGATTTGGACTAGTTGTAAGAAAAAAAATCCTAAAATTAATAGATTATCTTGTCAGATAGTATCAAGTAGTGTGATTCTTTTTCCTGGGGATATTCAAGTAGAGTTTAGATGATCATTTGTGTAGAACACTAGTTGTTGTTTAATCCTTTCAATTGTGTCTGATTCTTTGTGACCCCATTTGGGGTTTTCTTAGCAAAGATACTGGAGTGATTTTACCATTTCCTTCTCCAACTCTCTTTGTCTCTGTCTGTCTCTCTCTCTGTCTCTCTGTCTCTGTCTCTCTCTCTCTCTCTCCCCCAACTCTTCTTTCTAACAAATGAGGAACTGAGACAGAGTTAAGTAACTTGCCCAGGGTCACACAACTAGCAACTGTTTGAGGCCAGATTTGAACTCATGAAGATGAGTCTTCCTGACTTCAGGCCTGGTACTCCATCCATGGCACCACCTAGCTGCCCTGTACCACTAGTGTCAAACTCAAACAGAAATGGGGTCCGCTGATCCTTACATAAGGATCCTTGCAGGCCACAAGTTGACTTAATTTCCCAATTACATTTTAATCTGCTTTGAGCTGCACTAGGGAGCATTGCAGGCTTCATGTCATGTGTTTGACACTTCTGGTGGGAAAGACAAGCAGAGGAGATTCCTTTCTTGGTCAGATGATTAAAGTTCCTCCCAAATCTAGGATTCTATGCTCCTAATTGGTTCTGCATACAGTATTTAATTTAACCTTTCAAACCTCTGTTAGATAAATAGCACAAGTATAATTATCTTTGTTTAACAGATGAAAATGGGACTCAGAGAGATTAAAAAACTTGCCAGTGGTGGTGGGGCTGGGACTATAATGCAGATCTTCTGACCCCAAGTCCAAAGCACATTTCATAACACCATTCCTTTCTCTACATGCTACCCTAAACAGTAGTCCCATATCATGGACTCAGGATGGTTTATTATTTTATAATAAATAGTAGTACTTGTCAAGATCTCTGATATACTGTACTACCATAACAAAATTATTATAATGGAGTGAGGGCTGGAATGTAGTGACTTGGGGACCCTGAATCTTCTTTGAGGAACTATAGAAAATTAAATAAGACTTCATTTTGGTCATTTTATTGTTTTCAAAGATTGACAACATACTTTTTGC